AATTTGATCGAATATAAATCGAGTTAAATTTGTAGATTATAAAATATATATGTATACTCTACCATAACTTTTGGCGATACTAAATTACCGGAAATTTGTTATTATATAAATTATATTGCACGCTTGATTATTATTATTATAAATCGAGAATCGAAAACACCTCGATCGATAAAATTCTCATTTCGAGTTACACACATTTGTATACATATATATATACATATACATATATATAATATAATATAATACAGATATAATAAACATTAGTTTTTTAGGTTAAGAGAAATACAATATATAAGTCTGTTTATTATTATTATTATTATAAAGTGCAGATTTAAAATCTCTGGTTTAATACGTACGAGAAATCTGAATCGTCGATTCGAGATTATGAAACGAACGATTGGACACGAATAGCTCCGGCTAAAATTGCACCTACATGCATTTTTAAAGGGTCCCTGTGTTTACGGATGCGCACGCATCGTAACCTAACCGGGCGCTTGCGCGCTTTAAAATTACAAACACGCGAAATGTCGAATACTTCGAAATCAAAGAGGGGAAGAGAGAGACAAAAAAGAAACGAAAATATGGGAATACGAAATTTCACGTTGATTTTCAACGCAACGATATCAGCATTTATATCGATTCTACGATTAATCGTTACGACGATACGATCGATATATCGATTACGTATTAAACGAAACCGGAAATCTTTAATTTTCGAAGATTTTCAAATTAAAACGAATCTCATTGGTCGATTGAGTGTCTTTTTTTTTTGCAATCCTACTTATTTGCTTACTTATCTCTTCGTCGAAATACTGGCTTCTTATAAATTGATGAATTATTCATGTCTGAGAAAAGCTTTCGAGATTTATTATTTTCACGCGATATCGAGTGTTCATGGTTTATGTGATAACAAATTTGCGAACCATATTGTCAATAATTGTTTCTCTTGTCTAATCGTCATGGTGGAATATAATTTCGAAATAATAATAACAAGAAGAAAAAAAAACGAAGAAAAAAAAAACAAAGAAAAAAAAAGAAAATGAAAGAAAATTAATCCGAAATCTGATTTGTCAAAACTTCCTAGACGATCGTATGCCCATGAAGAGCTCGTACAATTGGATTGAGGTTAGGAACACATCGAACGTTTCTATAATTTTCATTAATTATACGACACACATTAATTCATCCTTTCCCAGATGCAATCCAAGCTAGCATGTAAGTAATGTATCAGCGTTTCATGCTCGAGGTTCTACGTAAGTAAGTACATACGTATGTATATATACATATATATATATATATATATATATAAATATATATATATATATATCCTATGTAAGTACGTGCGTTTATAAATAATTCATATCGCAATTAACGTAGCAAAATGTATTCTGATAAATAATAACCGTAGAATATTTTAATGCTTAGGTGGTTAAGCACGAATGTGTTTAAGAAAGACAAGATTAACGGCTTTGATCGTACCGTGTAATATCATTATCATTATCATTATTATTATTATTATTATTTTTATTATTATTATTACTACGATCGAACGAAACTAAATAGTAAAAAGGCAACGAAAAAGATAAGAGAGAGAGAGAGAGAGAGAGAGAGAGAGAGAGAGAGAGAGAGAGAGAGAGAGAGAGAGAGAGAGAGAGAGAGAGAGAGATAGAAAAGTAACATAATTTTATCAAATTGATATGATAGGAATATAAAAATTGGATATATTAATACACAACTGGAGGTATTAGTTGCTTATATTCACTTTGACTGAGTGTGATCGAAGGTGATTGGTCGTATACGTCACGTCAATTTGGTACGATCGGAAGGAGACTTCAAGTAAAAGAGATAGAGATGGATAGAGATAGATAGATGAACAGAAAGAGAGAGAGAGAGAGAGAGAGAGAAAGAGAGAGAGAGAGAAAGAGAGAGAAAGAGAGAGATGGATAGAGGTAGATGGAGATAGATAGATAGATGGATAGAGAAAGAGAAAGAGAGAAAGAGATAAAGAGAATGAAAAGAGATAGAATGCAACTCGTCGCAGGTGAAAGAGTGGAGGAATAGAGAAGGAGGTGAGAAACTGTGGAAGGCTGCCTGCATTCTGGTCGGTAATCTGTGGTAGGAGGCATGTAGGACGAACGGATGGAGAACACCAGTGCGATTTGCCGCGAGCTCGGGCGAGGCGAAACGAGCGTGAAAGAAAGAGAGAAAGAAAGAGAAACAGATAGAGAGAGCAATAGAGAGAGAGAGAGAGAGAGAAAGAGAGAGAGAGTGTAAGGAAGATAGGAGAACAGCAAAAGAGAGAGAAAGAGAGAAAGAGAAAGGAAGATAGGGGAACAGCAAAAGAGGAAAAAGAGAGAGAGAGAGAGAGAGTATACGAGGAACGTGAAGCAGAAGAAAAGAGAGTGAAGAGGAGGTAAAGAAAGAGAAAGAGAGAGAGAATAAAAAAGAGAGATAGAAGAGAGTACACGAGAAGAGAAAAAGAAAGAAAGAGAGAGAAAGAGAGAGAGAGAGAGAAACCGGACGGAGAGCAGCGAGTCTTGCACACGGGCAAAAAACAAAAGTGCATCTCTCGGCAAGATGGCCGTCGCTTCTCAACGACTCTCAAGGTTACTTAGAGGAGCAGCATAGGGGAAGAGGACGGAACGGAAAAGAACGTCGGTACGCTGTACGGTGCGGCACTGTGCGTTGCGATGCGGTGCGGTGCGGTGGCGTGCGGTGTTCTGCGGCACTGGCGTTGCGTATGAGCGGCGTATGTGTGCCAGCTAGCAGCGCAGCCTTTAAACTTTCATGTAGGCCCCGTTATTTATTTTGATAAATCTTCGCGCCGCGTTCTCTCTCTCTCTCTCTCTCTCTCTCTCTCTCTCTCTCTCTCTCTCTCTCTCTGTCTGTCTAGCTCGTTCGCTCGCTCGCTCGCTCGAATGAATTTGAGCTCGCTTACGAGCGCATTCGGCCAATTTCGGAGACGTTTCGTGGAAGGCGTTCGTGTCCGTAGAAGATAAAGATGATGAAGATGAAAATGAAGATGAAGAAGAAGAAGAAGAAGAAGAAAAAGAGGAGACGAATTTGCGCTTCGGGGCATCGTTATACGTGTAACACGTATACCGATAAGCGTGCAAATAAATGTATGAAAGTATTTTGTCACGGGGATCATTGGTTAATGAATGGAGATCGATTAATTAAATCAATTCGATAAAATTAATGTATTCGTAATATTTTTCTTTTTTGTAATCTTTTAACGATCTCTTAATTATTTTGTTTTTTCTTCTTCTTCTTCTTCTTCTTCTTTTTTTTTCTTTTCTTTCCTTTTTGGAAATATTAAAACAAACAAATTATAATCGATATAGACGACGTTAAATATGTTCGAGCGTTCTTTGAGATTTTGGAACTCTACCAAGGTCTTAAAAAAAAGATTAGAAATCTCTCTCTCACTCTCACTCTCTCTCTCTCTCTCTCTCTCTCTCTCTCATTCATTCTTTCTCTTTTTCTCTGTCTATATCTCTGTCTGCATCTTCCTCTTTTTTTTCCTTTTTGCAAAGTTACAGCGGCAAGCGGACAAAGGATCAGAGCGCGCGACTTACGAATGTCTTGTTAAAATCTCGTTATATAAATAGTGTAGGTATATGCGCGATGCACTCTACGTAAATGTCAAGCTTTTATGGCTGAAGAGAACGTAGCTCGAAATGTGTAAATCACCTTTATCCAAATGTAAATCCTCTTGCGGATATGTTGATTGTTTCTTCGTTTTTGTTATTCCGTGTTTTTTTTTCTCCTCTTTTCCTTCATTTTTTTATTTATTTATATTTTTTCTAACTTCCCTTTCCCATCCCCCGCCCCTCTGCCCCCCGCCACTCTCTCTCTCTCTCTCTCTCTCCCCTTATTTATTTTTTTTCCTTTAATATTTCATCTATTCTTCAGTTTTTTTTTCTTTTTTCTTTTCTTTTCTTTTTTCTTTCTATCAGTTTCGTCCAAGTTGTTGTCCAATCTCTCACGCTATTACTCGGTTTACTTAGGAAACTCGTTTCGATAAAATAATACTTCTCGAATGTCGAAAAGAGAGTTTCGAAGCTGGCATGTCCCCTACCATCTATGTTCCTTCTCACTCTCTTCCTCCTTAATCTCTCCCCTTCTCCTATATCTCATGCATATACATAAACCTTTAAAAAAAAAAAAAAAAGACATGTACACACACATACACAGAGAGAGAGAGAGAGAGAGAGAGAGAGAGAGAGAGAGAGAGAGAGAGAGAGAGAAAGAAAGAAAGAGAGCGAGAGAGAAAGAAAGAGAGCGAGAGAGAGAGAAAGAGAGAAAGAGAGGAACACATGCGTATAAGATTTTCGCGAGCGGCTAGGATATGCCGTTCGAGTTTCGTTTTTC